ACAATCGTAATACTGCGCACAATTGTTTTGGTGAGGGATTATACCAGACTTACCTCCAAGGCATAACGAACTCTTATATTTTCGATCTTCACTACCTGTAATAATAATATAGTTCTGTTTTAATCTAACTGAGCACCGTTTAACGCCATCTTTACTACAAAATACGTTCACACAAACACACACACACACATATATTGCAAATATAGACAGACACACATATATATTTATTTTTAATTGGTTGTTAAATAGCCGACCTTATTTCTCAAAACTATAAACCTGAGATTCTCAACCTGGGTTTATATGGACCCTGGGGTGGTCCATGTAACATTACTAGGGGTTCCCACAAAAATACCAAATTGGTGTCCACAGTAATATTTTAGTGATCCATCAAGCAATTTCACTTCAGGACAGTTGTTACAACTGAGAATTGGAATTTCTACAGTAATCTACGCCATATTAAAATATTAAAAATAGAAAATCAACTCAAAACGATATCAAGCGACCTAAGTTAGCGTCCCTTTTACTCTGCCGGATATTTTGATTGCAAAAGTTGAATAAAAACTGAGAAGGATATATAAAGAAAGGATTATATATATAAAGGAAAATTATATAAAGATTATAATTTGTTATATAAATTAATTTAATATATTAATAAATTATAATATTAATTTTAAATATTAATGAAGTATAATATTAATATAAATGAATTAATATAATAGATTCGACATTGTGAAAAGGAATGATCTTTGACTATCATTGACATCGATGGAGCCGTATATAAAAAAAACTTGTAGAGCAGTATCAACCATAGGGATTTCGTTGAATATATCTGCAACTTTTTTTTAATTAATTACTCACATATTTCAAAATGGTTTATATTAGGAGTTATTTTACTGGTGTACATAAATGTTGCATAGAATTTAGTTGTTAAATACAAGTTTATTTTCATTAAATTAGTTTTACTTCAAAATAAAGCACACACATGTACTAATGCTATAATACAATTCCTAAACTTACCTATTAGTAAAAAAATAAAAAATAAAATAAGCTTTTTTTTCACCGTACAAGTTGGGGAGGGAGCCCCCCCCCCCAAAAAAAAAGAGTAAAGACCACAGCATGAAAGACCTAAATAATAAATTTGTCAAAATACTATAATACTAATTGACCTATTCAAACTATTATCGTAATCTTTGTTGTTATATTGTTTTAACGTTTTGGCTAACCTATTGTCCGGCATTCTTCAAATGCCTGCCTTATTTGCTAATCATCGAAAAATTCCGAACTGACATCATTACTGACATATTTTTAAATCGTTTATTATGAGTTATTTAACTACTGTACATAAATGTTCCATTTTAGTTGCTAAATACAAGTTTATTTTTATTAAATTAGTTTTACTTCAAAATAGAGCATTTTATAAAAAAAATATTTTCTACCAAATTTAAGTTCTTGTGTCAAACACAAAAACCTATTTATTAGGAACAGCAAGTCATAATAGACGCAACTCACAAAACAAGGCTCAAATACTGCTTAAAATTTTAAAGGAAAAACATTTATTACACAATTACGAAAAAGGTACAAATACAAAGTTTGCACAAAATTTTCCTTAGAAAGGCAGGATATCAAATTTCTGGATTACCATCGAAAAATGAAAAAAATTACAGTTTGGAAAAATGACGAAAGAGAAAGCAATACAAGAAGGCAGTGAAAAACAAAAAACAAAAGTGCAACCACCTTTCATGGGAAAAAAAAACGAAAAACACCTACAGGGTGGTCCGAATGTCTTGTCACGCCCACCTCTCTTCCAAATAAGAGCTTGTGTCAGCCATCTGAAACAGAAATTATACTATGTAGGGGGTGACAAGACTTTCTAACCACCTTTTACTATTACTCCCTCCTCCACGAAGGTCTCTGAGACAGTAATTTAAAAAAAAAGTCCCTTTTAAATTCACACAGAAAATTTCTTAGAATTCTTTTCGTTCTTTGTTCTCCAACCGCAGGAGAATTTTCACTTGGGAATCTCTCTGCAGCTGACTGGTAACTGGTTCCTTCTTGATGCTCTCAAAAGACTCATCAAATGCTTTTTGCTCCTTGATGTTGATTAGCCTTGTCTCTTTGCTGTCAAAATGTCTTCTCACGTCGTCCATTGATCTGACTTCTAATTTATTCCATAAAATAAATTCACAGGACCCGCATCCAGGTTCTTACTAGGGCTTGAAACTACGTCTCTCATTGGTTAGTATATACGAACAAAAATAATTTTCTATAACTAAAAATGAATCCTTCACAAAAAAAAGACAAGAAAATTAATTTTCAGATCAACGCAACAATTTTTTCTTAGAAAAATGATAAACACAACAATTTCTTGTCTTAGAAAAAAGCAACATCCTGATGATGACAATGTGCTAATGTCGAAAGTACTCGGAAAAAAATGAATATACATCAACATGGTAATTTTCTTTCTTCCTTTGATAAGGATACTAAGAAACATGTTAGTAATAACGAGAGGATTCTATGAAAAATAAGTAGACAAAACTTGTTTAAATTATTCAATGAGACATATCTTAATGAAAGCATGACGCCAAAATGTATGTATAGCTAGTCACTCGTATTCGTTGATACTCGTTTACCATTGCAGACGCTTGCTCAAGCGCATTTGTGTTTCTTCAACACCCACAGAACCTACCTGTGGTTTATACTGCAACTATGCTGAGCAGACTTTAGTTACAGTTTCGGGGAAAGAGCGTGTTATCTAGCATAACCAACAATTTGAACAAGGCTAGCACGCTCGAGCCCTCGGCCACGATGACTTGTTACTTCGTGCTAGCACAGCTATCAACGGCACCTAAGGGATCCCTCTCCCCAATTTCACTCACATGGCTTGGTATGGTTTTCAGGCACTTTCCAAAGGTGCTGCACGCTGGGATCAACCCCTCCAGTCGGTTAACATTAGGAAGTCGCCTTCCTGACAAATCGACCCTGGTGAGATTCGAACCCGCATCTCATGATCAGAATGCGAACGTTCTAACCACGTGACCATAAATACACTCAATATATATACATATATATAGTTTGTGTACTATTTTGATATTACTTTCACATATTCCAATATACTAATATGCTTTAAATTACATAGCAAACATATTTAAACTATAAACGTAACAGTTAAACAAATACCAAAATCAACATACAGAAAAAAAAGATTTAAAAAGTGTAAAAAATAAGGATCATCTTTATTTTTAAAATAAAATCTACAAATTTCTACAAAGTAACTGTTCTCGCTTTTTCTATCTAGAATTATACAACATATCCCAAAAGTACTGCAACCATAGTTTCGTTTTTTTTTTGTGGGGGGTAAAATTTAGTAGTCACTTCTTGCCTCAGTTAACAACTGACTGGAGGTCATTTTCGGGATCGGATCCCAGTTATATCGGACTTACTATTAAGTTGTTATGCGGGTTCTGATATGGACGACTCGACAGAAGAAATTCTATGGGGACGAGAAGTTAACCTCTTGTTTTTAACCGATCTTGTTTTTTAGGCAACAAGCTTAAAATCAAGATTAGGACGGAAAGGAAACTACTCCCGCCATCAGAATTTGACAAAAGGTGGGTGAGTATTGCGCGTCTGTGTCAAGTAAAAGTAGCTGACTTAGTGTGGCCGGTTAGGAATTAGAATATTGAAAATTCTGGAATGAATATTGGCAACCCCACCCAAAAGAGGGTGGTTTAGGCTTGTTTTCCCTTTCAGTTTCTTTCCATCAAAGTTAACTTACCTAGGGATGGTATGCTCATTGGCCTCTTTTATTTTTGCCCCCACTTTTTCTTCCCTTCCCCATTAGGTGGCCAGAGATGTCAGTTCTCTGGTGGATACGAGTTGCCTTTCGTTTTTTGAGTTAGTTTTTCGTTTTTGTTGTTGTTTTTGGATGAGTCTGTGTTTGAATGAATGTTTGGTCGAATGGTTGTTTGAATTTTAAAGTCCAGCATTAATTTTGTCCAGTTAACTGATGTTTCTGCCACATTTCAAGATTGTGGGGGGTGTTTATTGCAAACATATTTTATTTTGTTTCTTCCACCTGAAGAAGGCCGGAGCGTACAACGGCCGAAACGTTGTGATAGATATGGCAAGAAAGATGCGGACAATAGTCCGAATAATGTAAATAGTGTGCATAATACCTCATCTCAGGAATATAGACAGATACCCCACAGGCAAATTGTACATATGGGGACTAATTAGGACTTCATAGCGTCCCTGAGGTATTATGGTGGATGTAGTAAGAAATCAAAAATGAGAAAGGATTGTTTTGATGCAAGGACTATTGTGGTATGTTTGGGTTAGTGATTGTAACTAGATAAATTGAAGTATAGGACAAATGAAGACCAGTCTTAATAATACTCCTATTTTGGGCCTTGTGCCATATTTGTACATATATTCGTACAATAAATATTGCTTGTCTCCGGGTCGTTAAGTTGGTTGGAGGACGAGTTATTGAAACGTGCGATGCTGGGTTGAATTTTATCCCCCACAAAAAATTCTGCTATAATAATTAATACTGTTTCTGAAACTTATATTTATTTCCGTATTATTTTCCAAGAATTGAAATTAATCCTGGTTTTCTTTTTCTTTGGAAAACTAGAATTAAAAACGAACTTTTATCTAGAAATTTATATTTAAGAATGGAACAGACATAGATAGATAGATAGATAGATAGATAGATAGATAGATAGATAGATAGATAGATATGAGCAAATCGAGATATAGATAGATGTGAGCAGATACTAATAGATAGATAGATAGATAGATAGATAGATAGATAGATAGATAGATAGATATGAGCAAATCGAGATATAGATAGTTGTGAGCAGATACTGATAGATAGATAGATAGATAATGAGCGAATTTAGATAGATAATGAGCGAATTTAGATAGATAGATAGATAGATAGATAGATAGATAGATAGATATGAGCAAATCGAGATATAGATAGATGTGAGCAGATACTAATAAATAGATAGATAGATAGATAGATAGATAGATATGAGCAAATCGAGATATAGATAGTTGTGAGCAGATACTGATAGATAGATAGATAGATAGATAGATAGATAGATAGATAGATAGATAGATATGAGCAAATCGAGATATAGATAGTTGTGAGCAGATACTGATAGATAGATAGATAGATAGATAGATAGATAGATAATGAGCGAATTTAGATAGATAATGAGCGAATTTAGATAGATAGATAGATAGATAGATAGATAGATAGATAGATAGATAGATAGATAGATAATGAGCGAATTTAGATAGATAGATAGATAGATAGATAGATAATGAGCGAATTTAGATAGATAGATAGATAGATAGATAGATAGATAGATAGATAGATAGATAAAATTCGTAATTATGAATTTTAACCTATCATGAGTCACCGTCCCATTTTTGTCACCGTGAACATTAATGTAATATAAATAAAAACCTATAATTAATGACGGATTTTTTTTATTTATTTTCATTATTAATACCGGCTTTTATGGTAAGCATTTAAGTGATAAGAAAACTAAAAGAATGCAAAATTGAACTTCTCTCGGGGAGATACTTACATAAATCAAATCGTGAATATCTGGGAACGCAAGCCGAAGTGGTATTGTCCCAGACTCCTGGTTGGCACGAAAGCTGGGTCGTTCTCCCGCGGGTGCACACGTAAAAAGAGGAACAATTACCATTAGGGTCCGGCAGAAAGATGGCTTTGTTGTTGACCTCTTGACATAAACCAGACATAAAGCCGGTGCTTAGATGCAGTATGGTTAGAAGAAGAAAGACAATTTGTCTTAAAAATGGAAATAAATCAAGAAGCATTGTCACTTTTAACCGGATATTCTAATTATTATTTGTTTAATTCTTCAGTTTTAATTATTTTTAATTGTAAAAGTTGAAGAGTGACCAACAAATATAGATACAGACTCGATAGAAACTATACGTATGATAACGAACTCAAGAGAATTGGTTTGATTGTGTTAGATAGATATGTATATAGAGAGAAAGGTGGAGGGAGGAGAGAGGTGAGCGAATTGAAATAGGTAGATAGTGAGCTAATCGTGATAGATAGATAGATAGATAGATAGATAGATAGATAGATAGATAGATTGATAATGAGCGAATTTAGATAGATAGATAGATAATGAACAACCATAGATAGATAGATAGATAGATAGATAGATAGTGAGCAAATCGTGATGGATAGAGACACAGATAATAAGCTAACCGAGATAGATAGATAGATAGATAGATAGATAGATAGATAGATAGATAGATAGATAATGAGCGAATTTAGATAGATAGATAGATAGATAGATAGATAGATAGATAATGAGCGAATTTAGATAGATAGATAATGAGCGAATTTAGATAGATAGGTAATGAGCGAATTTAGATAGATAGATAGATAGATAGATAGATGTAAGCAAATCGTGATAGAGAGATAATAAGCTAATCGAGATAGATAATGTGCGAATTTAGATAGATAGATAGATAGATAGATAGATAGATAGATAGATAGATAGATAGTGAGCAAATCGTGATGGATAGTGACACAGATAATAAGCTAATCGAGATAGATAATGTACGAATTTAGATAGATAGATAGATAATGAGCGAAGATAGAGATAGATAGATAGATAGATAGATAGATAGATAGATAGATAGATATAACTATATAATTACAGATGATCTCTGTTTATGACAAGAAAGTGGAAAGGGATGTCGTTGAACGATCTGACAAGTTAATCACCCCAAAAGTCTTTTGAACTACCATGTTTCCCATCAAAGTGATTCCTTCAACAAGGACGCCGCTAAATATCGCTTGGTGACTGTGACCTGGGCGACATTGTCTGAGAAGTGTTCCAAGACATGCTAACATCTATTTCTTAAAGCCGTCTGTATATTTACTTTAAGATCAGTGTCAACTGGAGATACAAGACTAGCGTACGTGTTTCTACTCGTTTGTGTGGGTGCATGTGTATCGGCGTGCGTGCACACAGACAAATTCCTGCACAGAAGATGTTTGTAAACCTCTGTTTATATTTACTCTCTTCTACCTCCAGCTCTATCCCTATATATGCATACACAATAGTTGGCCATTGGTATTCGAGGATGCCCTCCTACTAGGGTGGCTAGTCAATCCCTATTGCAGACGCTCGCTCAGGCACATTCGTGCTCGTTCAACACCGACGGAGCCCACCTGTGGTTTATACTGTGACTATGCTGAGCAGACCTTAGTTACAGTTTCTGGAAGAGAGCATGTGATCAACAATCTGAACAAGACCAGCACACTCATACCCTCGGTCCCGATGACTTGTGACTTCGTGCTAGCACAGCTGTTGACGTGTTCTGTCTACCCAGTTTCATTCATACGGCTTGGGTCAATCCGTGCTATCGTTTTCAGGCACTTTCCAAAGATGTCACACTGGGATCGCCCCCCCCCCAGACCGATAACATCAGGAAGTCTTCTTCTTGACAAATCAACCGTGGTAAGATTCGAACCTGAGTCTCATGGTAAGAAAGCGAACTTTCTAACTATTCGGCCACTATATATACATACATATATACATAAATAAATTAAAATAAATATGTAAACGCTTGATCCAATCACCCTAAAACTGTGATCAAGCATGTCCCAACAGGTATTGAATACAGGATATCCAGGAATTCTTTGAGTAAAAACATTTTTGAAGAAAAAAAAAGAAAGGCGTTAATAAAGAAGAACCACAAAACCAAACTTGAATTTAAACCTCAAACATTCCAACCTATGAGAAACACCAAAAGAAATATAATTTGTTTTAAATACCCACCCCCACTTTCACTCTAGGAGCGAAAACAAATATTGGAAAAATGTTTTTTAAACTGCTTTATAAACACTTCCCCAAAACTTGTGTTGCACAAAATCTTCAATAAAAATACTGTGAAAATAAGTTGTTGTTGTACCAGCAACTTTAAAAATATAATAAAAAAACAGAATATCAAGAATCTTTATAAAGATGGAGTGAAGAATAATGATATAACTAATTATATGTGCAATTTTAGAAACAAGAATATGTGCCCACTAAATGGAGCATGTAAAACTGAAGGTGTAGTCTACAAAGCAGAGATGGAAGATGAAAAAGGCCAAAATAAAGTATATTTCGGATGCACAGAAGTCAGCTTTAAGAAAAGATGATACAACCATCAATCATCGTTCAAGCTAAAAGTTACAAACATTGTACAAAACTGGCTTGTGAAATATGGTAAAAGCCTTAATGTATATTTGAGTATTTTTAAGAATGCCAAGGCATATAGCATTGCTCGGAAGATTTCAACAAATCTATTTTCATAGCATTGCCTAAGAAACCAGCCCGTAACAAAACTCATCATCCGTATTCTGAGGAATAGAGCGCTCATCAGAATCAGGTCAGAGATAGGACAAGAACAGTGCGGGTTCGTTAAAGACACCGGAACAAGGAATGCAATATTCATGCTCAGAATGTTATCAGAAAGAGCAATACAAATGCAGAAGAACTTGTAAATGTGTTTTATAGACTACGCAAAGGCCTTCGACAAAGTACGCCACAAGGATCTGTTGGAACCGCTCAGCAACCTTGATATATTCTGGGAAAGACATCAGAATAATCAAAAATCTCTACTGGCAGCAAACTGCCTGCATAAAGATGAAAAATGAGTTCAGCAGATATTCAAAAATAGAAAGGGGTGTAAGGCAAGGATGTGTCTTCTCACCGGACTTATTCAACCTATACAGCGAAGCAATTCTAAGAGAACTTGAAATCCTACCAGGATTCACCACTGGCGCTCACAATATACAGTCACAATATACGGAAAGGAGACTACAAAACCTCCTACATAAGGTAGTGAAGGAGAGCGAGAAGAAGGGACTAAGCATATACAAGAAGACAGAATGCATAGTCATCAGTAAAAAGACGATCCCGAAATGCGATTTACAGGTCGAGAACACTAAAATCAAGCAGGTATGGAAATTTAAAATATCTGGGAAGTGTTCCGACAGAGGGCAGTAAGTGCGAGGCTGAGATCCGAATACGTATTAGGTTGGCCAAAGACGCATTCCAAAAACTAGGCAGAGTATTTCGTTAGTAACAAAGAAAAGAGTACTGAACTGCTGCGTGATATCTGTCCTCCTTTACGGCAGCGAATATTGAACGATCTGCTTAAAGACGAAAAAGAGACTCGAGGCAACAGAGGTATGGTTCTACAGAAGGACGCTAAGGATACCATTAAATATGTTACGAAAAAAGAACTAAACAAAATGAACATAAAACGATCAGCTTTAAAAAAGGACCCGTTAACTTGGAGCATGTGCATGTAAATTTTAGTCCAAATCCATCGAAAATTGCAGCCGTGCATTCGTCACACACACACACACACACACACACACACACACACACACACACACACATCCTGTCTTTTATAGATAGAGATATAAAATGAAAGGGCAAAAATTCTCTTTCTTCAAATATAGAATGTCGTAGTAACAAAACGTTGTGTTTCCCATCCAACCTCTCAGCCCGTCTTGTAACAACGGCATGCTGTGGCTGAAGAGATGGAAAAGTGGATTTATTCTCCATAAAAGAACCATTTGGGTGCAAGGATGAGGAAGGAATGGTAAGAGGCTGGTCAACATTAACTATCCCAGGCTTAGCTAATCAGATTTACGACCCGTTAGTCCATTGCAATTTGGTCATTCACCACAAGAACTCACCCATCATCATACAATCCGACATACACCACAATACCGCATGTTCACACGGAACCTACAAAAAACACCGAGGACATAAAAAATTCATTATGTACAAATGTCCAAATATCTCGCTTTTTTTACCAAAAAATACTTTAAAATATATGACCATGAAATGAAGAGATATGAAACGAGTAGTTTTGTACGCTTTGCTTTTATACTGCTTTATACAACGCCACCTAGCGAGCGTTAGAGACATTTCCCCTAGCAGACAAGATGGTGTAGCCCCATACTAATCAGTCAGTCAGTTATATGCCATGCTTAATACACGCTTAGGCAATCATGTATCTTTCGATACATGATTGACGAGACAGATTTTTTTTCCCATAGTAGGTTGCCATTTTTTCTGTGGTAGACTAGTTGCCATTCAAGGGTATAGAACCCGGTCTTTCCTGCTATTTACCCCCATAGCTTGGGGGGGAGTAGAAGAGGATTCATACTTTTCCCAAGGGGTATTAGCACGTAAGTGAATGTAATGGATTCGACTGGAATTCGAACTCGGCTCTCCGATTCCTCAATCCGAGCCGGTATCCATTACTCACCGTACCACGCTAATACATACATGAAAATATATACTTACGGTTACGTACTCGCACATGGTTGAAAATTTTAAGATATTTTTTTATCGCTGTCTTATTTATTGCGTCTTCTCTCAATATTTCTAACAGTTTTTTTCTGGAACATACATTTTTAGATTAAGAGAAAATATTCTGATTCACTTTTTCACTAAAGTCTCTGTGTGTGTGTTTTTTGTTTTTTTGTTTTGTTTTTTTTTTTTAGTTTTTTTTAAAAAAAATTTTTATTGTCCTTTACCAACCGATATTTGTTAGTGTTTAGGCCCCTCTTGTCTACTGCATCTGTTTGCATAGAGATATTCTCGGACTAAAGAAATGTCCCTTTCTCACGTTCCCTCTTTCGTCGCCATGTTGTTTTCTGAGCTTTGTTTAAACAACGAACAAAAACTGGAGCCAAAATGTTTATTTAAGAAATATTTCCATTTTATTCTTTTCTTTGGTATTTACAAACCTATGTGCAGATCTGTTCGTCTTTGGTTTTGTTTTTTGCATTTTTCATTCCTTTTTTAAGAACATTTTTAAAATCATTTCGCCCCAAGCAAGGCAACAAAGCTATTAAGACGCCAGGGAATTATTGGGTGTAAGAGAAAAAAAAATCAAAAGAAAGCATTATTAAAGAGAGAGAACAATGAAAGAACAAAAATTAAGACAGAAGATAACGATTGATGTTGCATTTAAATTTTCGAAGCTCTAACCGTAACCCTAACCCTGACCTTAACCCTAACACGAACCCTAAACCCTAAACCTTAGAAAGCAAGAAGCCGGAAAAGAGTTTCACAAGCGAGAAACTCTTAGCATAGAAGTTACGGTTGCCAT